TTTTTTAGAGAATGTGTGTTTAAAAGTATGGAAAAGTTTTGTATTTATGTGCAAAATATTTTATTATGTAAATATATTGTTGAAAATGAGTATGTGAATTATAGATTTTTGAATTAATGTTTATCAAATAGGGTATATTGGCTTATGCTTAAATCAAAATAAGATTTTTATTGAGATTTTATTGTACTTATTTTTTTTATATTTAATTTAGAGGAAGGAAACTAAAGAGTGAACGTAGTCTAAAAGCACATTGTGGGAGGTGTGAAAATGTGGCACTATTCAATTCTGAAAGTTACTAGTTCGATCCTAAAATCACTTAGGGGGTGAATAACGCCGAATTAAAAATTACCAACTAAAAGTAACAATTTACTTTTTAATTGTTCTAAATGTTTGGTCAATCAAGTCAATTTTATCCTATGTTGAATTGCCACAATAATAAACAAAGTAGTAAATAACACAAGATTTGTTGACAGAAAATTCTTACAAGATTAAAAATTTCGGAACCAATCCTATAACTTCAACTATAGACAATAAGAACTTACAATATGATCCAGCATAGAAAACCCACTAGACTTGCTTATCTAAATTATACAATATACAAGACCTGTTGGAATGTACACTACACCAAAAAAGAGTTTTAAAAAAACGTTGCAAAAGACTTTTTGCAGCGTTTTTCCCAATGTTGAAGGGGTCGGTGTTGCCGTTGAGGGAAGACTTTTTGCAGCGTTTATTCATCGTTGCGAAAAAGTCTTGCAGCATTTTTTAAACGTTGAGATATGCCCTTTTGCAGCATTTTTTCAACGTTGCGGTAGACTTTTTGCAGCGTTTTTGTAGACCTTTTTTTTATGGTAATATACCCACAAAATTGAAAACGACACTTTGTAAACAAATTTTGGAATTGCATAAAAATTGATAATTTCATTACAAATTTTTGAATCAATATAATATTAGAATGTGATACAACACAATCTATCTAAAAAGGAGTAAGGATTAAAGAGTTCATGTTACATCCTCTATAAAGCTCGAAACCACAATAAACTATCCAAACTACAAATTGCACAGAGAGAATGACACAAAAACGGACTAATAAACCGCAACACAGAATAGAATGAAGAGCGCAAGGCAAAGCTGGACACTTGTTGTCCATGTCTGATGGACCATAATGGAAACTCTCCAATCTGATAAGAAGGCATTAAGAAGAAGCTTTCTTTACCTTCAGGGTATCTTTCAGCTTCTAAGAATGTTTCCTCATCCCTGCATACTGATCTTCAACAGATATTACATTTTCTACTTGATCTAAAATTTCAATCAATGCCTGAGTACAGAGAACATGTATTACTGATAATGCAAAACTATTTTTATTAAGTATAATTCTAAGCATATACATGGATAAATATAAGGAATGGTTTAGGCTACAATATTAATCAAGTGATACTTCTGTAAGATAAATATTTGTTGAAAAACTGCTTTCGGACAAGCAGATTAGGCTACAATATTAATCAAGTGATTAGAAATCTAGAGACCTTTTTTGTGCTGCCTTGAACCCTGTTCATCAGGCACTCCACTAAAACCATCAGCAGCCTGCATCTCAAATCATAGCCAGAATCATCCAAAAATAAATAACCAGAGAAACTGAACTAATACATTTTACATGTGATATTGAATTACCTTGTCATGGCAAAAAGATAGAGATGGTGGAGTATTAAAAGGGCTCTGACTATTAAAAACATTAGAGTTATTCTTACTATTGGTTCCATTGCTTCCATGAAAATCCACATCACGGTCCGAATTCACCTTTCTCAAGGTAACCCTATGTTGGGAAATATGTAGGAAATCTGGAACAATAAATAACTCC